AGGTAGGATCAGGTACCATGGAGGAGTGAGCATCCCCTGCCGACCGGTCACACTCGTAATGTGCTCCTTGTCAAAATCGGGAAATTAGGGGAAAATTCGTTGTAATAAGTGAATAAATAATGAACTAACACTTACTATGAAAAACGCCAGTCAGCAATCCACTCATTGACTCAATGAAAAAATTGTATTTGCTGAGAAGATCAATAGAGACAACATTCTTTTTTCCTTGTTTTGTTAATTAAAATAGTTAAATATTTATATTTGCTTTATTTAATCATACACGGATGTAAACCTGTATATTGTCTTTATACTTTCAATCCTGAAAAACTGGACCATGTTGCGTGCAGATAGTCTGCATATGTTGTACGAATATAAACCTTATCCCCAGCTCTCAAAACAAGTGGAAATGTATTTGAACAACTTTCATATACTGTGCTTCCTTCATTGTTGCAGTTTCTGCGTCATTTCTTTGTCCATTGAGAAGAAGTTCCGCGACAAAAGATTTTCCTGGGGCCACAAAACTTGACCAAGAAAATAGGTACAGTCCGTCAGATGGCGCTTTGAAGACACCAGTGTGCTTGTTGTAATCGTTCCCATGGTTAATATATACGCCATCGTAGACAACGTTAATCGGAGTATCCTTTTTAAGGTGTAGTGTTTTGGTAACGTATGCATTAAATGCAATAATTCTACCTAAAATATAAAAGGAAATATTTAAAAAATATATTCTTAAACCATTTTGAGGAATCAAATGATTAAAATTGAATGGGCCTCAATGAATTCCTCTTGTACACGTACATGTATTTGTTATTAACTGTTGAGCTTTAAAAGATTGATCGATTGTATAATGTTTAATGTTCCTCTCGAGAATGTTTCCCTCATTTGGAGACGTCACCGTATGCTGGTGAAGGGCTTCAAATATTGACCTTTACTCGGCAGTCAGGGACATTGAGCAGTGGGGGATCTTTATCGTGCGAACGCCTGCAGCTGACACGGGGCCTCGGTTTTAAGGTCTCATCCGAAGTACCGGCAACTTCCACTTCAAAGTGCCGAGTATGGCGAAGGAAGAGTTGCTACCCATTTTTTTTATCGACTACGTCAGTTGCGGCCGAGATTCGAACTCACGACCTCCCAATCACGGAGCGAGCGCTTTACCGACAGAACTACCGTAAACGGTGATCTTTAAAAGACATGTAACATATTTTTCTAGATGAACTCATTATTATCACACACTAATACATTGTAAACCTGTCATAATATATACGAAACATTCTACTTTGAAGAAAAATCTATAGGAAGGAAACATAAATTTTAAAATATTAGTTTTTATTGGACCCGTATAAGAAAGGTATTTTCGGGGATTCAGATCGAAATTACAAAAATAAAAAGTACCGTGCGAAATAGAGTTTGGATCCTTAACACATCGGTATGTGACTTCCAGATATTAAGAGTAATTCCCACGGATCTCCAATGTGTTGAACAGCGGCGTGAAGATGGCACGTCGTATACCCATAGCAGTTCCATTTTGTCTTGATTTCGGACCACTTCGAATGACAGGTACGAGTTTTGATTTTACCAGTAGGACAAACGTGTTTGTCTGTCCGTCCGTAGTTTGCAGATAAAATCTGAATCTGGGTTTCTTTGGTACACCGGATAAATCCTTTTTTGCCCATCACATAGAGCAAACGACTGGTCTTAAATGAAAGAGTTATTGGGTTACTTCTTGTTAAAGGTGAAATGACAATTTAAAAAACAAAAATAACAAGTGTTAGAGGTGAAAATTACAATTTAAAAAACAAGAATTTAGAATTGACCTGACGACTCCGCTAGTTTGAACGATGATAACAAAACAACAAAAGCAGCAGCATTGAAACACAGCATCTTGCGAGCTCTGAAGCGGAATTACTATAAGAATGCTATAAAAATAAAAGTGTTTAAGTAGAGAAAATATCATTAAATTTTACATTGTAATATGCATGTATGTATATTGTACAATATATTAATTTGATTACCTTTTCTTCGGAAAACTAGGTTGTAGATATAGGAAAATTACAGAGGGAACATACATATTTATAGATGAAATGTGTGTGATTCTATGTACATGAACCATATGTAACTTAACTATGAAATTGATATCTCTATATAGAATTATATATACTTTCAAATATATCAGCAAAAATTAGACATTTACACGCTAAGATTATAATGTTATTTCTCTACAAACATAATTGAAGGACTATTTTTCCGAAGAGAATATATTCATACTTAGTACTATAAAACTCGTAATTACCATATTTATTTCATGAAGTCAATTTCTAAAAGAATCTGTTTTATGTAAATACACGTACACCAATACGATATCACGTATTGTTTTGTTATGAAATGTGTGCATTTGAGCCACAAAAATCCATTAAACATTACACATTAAGAGCGGATCATGTCCCATGAAGGAGAGAGCACCCTATGCTGACCGTTCACACCCGCCGTGTGCACGCTCCATGCACATTCGGGAAAAAACGGAAAAATCTGTCGACAATTAAGTATGATTATTGATGCCCTCTTACGATTAATTAGTAAGAAAAAATGTCGGTCAACATCCTAGCGCTGTTTAAAAAAAACATACTAATCTGAGTATGAATTGGAAAGAAATTTGCAGGATACTCCCACATTATTGTTATTTTTATCTACATACTAAGAATATTAATATACATGAAAGTTATATCCTCACCCAAAAAATGATTTTCTTAAAAAATACTTATCTCTCGCCCTTTCCTTTTGGAGTTGATGACATCAAGTCATGATAATAGCAGCCTCTATAGATTTTTTTTTATTATTTTATAGAATACAGCGGAAAAAATGATATATTCACGGAACATTTTTTCCATTTTTCTAATTGAATTTATTAAAAAAAATTAAAGAAATAAAAAATACATGTATCTTTTCATTCATGTTTTTCTGAAACCATGCATTCATTCTGAAATATAAAGAATAAAAAAAGATATGTCAATCTCTGTATTTAATCGTTAAGTAAATATGAACAGCAGAAAAGAGCTGAACTACGTACAGGAGTACTGCGCAACGATATATTGGATGTAAGGCGTTTATTAAAAAGTGTTACTTAAAAACTACAAGGAGAAATTTTTGAAACAATTGTGTTAAAATAAATAGCATCAATGTACGCTATTAAAACTTTACAAATGAGTTATTTCCTACATTAAGTATGGTATGTTATTACAAGTTCATGTACATGATATGAAGAGCGTCTACATATTTGTATACCTTGTTATTAGTCACCTGCACATCTTATTTTGTTACAAGCAGTCTAATAAAACACATGGAAATAATGAACAGTATTCAAGATCAAAAGTGCATAAAACAATACAAAATAGGAGCAGAGCAAACATGAACCTCCAAAATATCAGTGGTAAGAATCTACTCTTAGGCTGATGTAGACTTATTTATTGTTTGTTGTTTAAGGTCCATCTCGAAAATATTTCACTCATGTGGAGATGTCTCCATCTGCATTGGAAAGCTACACATTTTGTCCTATACACGGCACTTAATTAGGGCAATATAGTAGTAAGGTATCTTTTTTCGTGCCAGCTCCCTCTACGACACGGGACCTGGGTTATACGAGGACTGTTCAACAAATAGTGTCATGAACTCTAATGACAATGACATACAACACAGATATTATATAACATAAAGCTTGACTTTCTCTCATGATTGAATCTTTAATGAATTGAAATCAGCTCATGTGTCCACTCTTCATATAATCTTTCATTGTAAGAAGCTGAAAATCAAGGGCTAATCGAGACACTGCATTAAAAATGAATGGAAAAGAACCAGTAACTAGAGTTAAATTTAACGCTTCATTTAAGCTGATGTAAAAAATGATAAGAATCCGAAAGAAATATTCACTAAAATTTGTGAAATTAACAGCAACCAATGCCTATTTTATAGACACATGAGCAGATGGATTTATGGATTTCAATGAACAATAGTGATATGATGGGCTTCAAAAATGGGTACCATCCCTGGCGACAAAGATTTAAAACAACGAATGTTCTGTTTGCCGAAATTCAACACATCATCATTCATGATATTTGATTGACCTTAAAACACATAGCAAATTTAATAAGCATCAATCTTGGGGTAGTTCACACAAATCTAAAGAAAAATAGACAGTAAAAAAGCTAAGTACTCAATGGTTCCCCTTTGTTTTGAAAAAATGATTGAAAACGACATCATGCAAGAGTATTTTAAAACATCAGAAATTGTAGTCATCTACAAGACAAGCACTGAAATGTGGTCAAGATACAACAATGGAGTCCATAAAACAATACAAAATAGAAGCAGATCAAAATGAAACCCAAAACATTACAGTTGGGATCAGGTGCCATGAGGGAGTGAGAGAGACAAATGAGTTCTGTAATTTTAACAAACATTTTGACATTATTGCCATTGTAATGTTATTACTCTACCGGAATGTGTAATCTGGGTCCAGTAAAAATTTGAAGATATGGTTACTAGTATTCCTAAAAAATTTAAAAATTGATCTACGTATAACCTCGTAAAGAAAGGTCACAAACCAAATATCAGCTCAATATTGTATGTGTAAATGTTTTGAAAAAAGGAATGTGGAAAACCCTTAAATAAAACCTCATCTGAAACATCAATTAGCAAACAAAAATCAGCTCATTCTCTAGAGGCGTTTGAGAAAGTGCAAAACCAAGTGGAAAAAACTGATAGACAGACAGAAAGCTAAATGAATAAAAAAGACAGAGGAAGGACACAGCGGAGACAACCTAGAGTCCCAGACTGCTCAGCCGGAAGGGAACAAATAACAACAAAATTGACTATGCGATTCAGTCAGTTTGGGGCTTCTTATAATGAAAGATTGAGAGGCGTGTTTTTGATTCTTTTTCATGTTAGCTCCATCAGACATTACTGAATTACAGGGTAGATACCAGTACATGTTTCAATATTGAGATTCAGTGTTAGTGCGGTTTTATCATCATTAGTGTCTCCTTCACTTCCGTTCCCTCAGGAATGGCGGGATACCATGGTTGATACCAGTACTGAGGAGACCACAGTCCATTGAGCAAGGCGTGGTGACAAAAATTAAACCACCACCCAGCTCGGTAGGTGGCGGCACAGTCGTACGCTGTTGTCCCGTCGTTATCCTGATCCGGGGTACTGAAGGACATCCGGTACAAATTAGCATCCGGTACTTCAGTCTTCAGCATCCTGTCACCTAAAATTAATTTAAGATTAACTTACTGAAATATGTGAAAACAACAAGTAGTATTCAAACTCGAAATTCCATTCACAAGAATACAATTAAAGAGCACAGCAAACACAGACTTTTAAAACAACAGAGGTGGTATCATATGTCAGGAAGGAGTTGGAATATATACTGGAATAACACTTAGTATGAAAAAAATCAGTCATCATTAGACTTAAGGGTGATATTTTCTCAGTTTGTAGAAGTTTCGAAAACAAAATTTTATAATGTTCAATTTGTTATATTAAAAATTGCTCTTATTGGATAAAATGACCAAGATATAACTATATATCAATTTAAAAAATAAATATTTTATTATTTGAAAAAAAAAAACGTGCAGGAACAAGTCAATATATTGTACTGCAGAGGAAATTCGAATTAAAGTTTATTTTATTATTTGTATTTTTTGTCAGAAAATCTTACTTCTTGCAATATCAATAAAAAAGTTTAGGTTTCATATATTTCATGTAGACATTATTTTGCAAATATAGTTGGCGTTAAAACTCATTAATTATTTGCAAATACACCGTCATTGATTGCTGTGAAATATAAAAATATTTCAAAAATATGGAGGAAAACAATACAACATTTCTCAACAAGAGGCCCAGGGGCCACAGCGCTCACCTGAGCACATCGGGCTTGAATTTAGTCCCCCCCCCCCTCCAGGCATTCATCATTTGAACAAACTAGAATCTACACTACCTGAGGATGATTCTATATAAGTACAGTGAAACCTGTCTTATCCGACATGCCATGGGAAATTAAATTTATGTCGGATTAAACAGTGTGTCGGATTACTCAGTGTTGGCTATTTCTGTCACATTTCAAGTCCAAACAAAGATGTATAGGGCTATATGTATTGACAATACATCGTAGCAAATTTCAAACTTACACTTTCGTTTCGTCTGATCACTTTACCTGGCTATTCTCCTAAATTAAATTGTTGAATTTACTTATGAATTTAATGTGATAACATTTTTCTAATAAAATGACTTATAAAAATTGATTTTTAATAGTTATTGCCATCTTTAATCAGCACATGTTTACATTCCTTCTTCGATGGTCGCCATTTTGGAAACGGAAGTAGACTAAATGCCTGACTTTATTCCGTAATTTATCCCCCCCCCCGGATAAATAGTACGGAATATTAAAAAAAATTGTTTTCTTTTATTTGTTTCTTTAACATGGTTATGTTTTTCATATACTGTTTGTGACAATTCTCAAGTCAATGGTCCTGTTACTTTGATGCATTTCAATCTGAATGTCCCAACAAATTGTCACACACAAGCTAATAGTTAAATAATTAAAATCTAACCTTGGAAAAAAATGCAAACAATTATCATAATTATCGATAACATCACTGAAAAGTAATTTAAACCCAAGCTGATCATCATAACTGTATCAAAACATATCAATCTAGTGTGCCACTTATTAGCACAGGTAAGGTGACTGCGTTCGTTCAGCCGTAACTAATCCCCTCATTATCATACTCAACGTGTCATATAGTATAAACAAAGGTTTCACAACTGGGGTTTAACCAGCCGTGTAATTATGTCGGATAACACAGGTGAAACTGCAATGCAATTAATAGGCTGTGTTTACAAAGAGGTGTCGGAATTCGGAATGTACAGTGGCCGGATTGAAAAGTATTTTTCTATATAAGTTATATAGAGATATTTTTGGGAATAAAGATTTACGTCGGAAGTGCCAGTGTGCCGAATTGTACAGTTGTCGGATTGGACAGTGGGCACTGTATCACTAATCATAGCTTTGAAGTACTTGAAAAGAAGATTTTAAAAGATTTCCCTATATATCCCTATGTAAAACTTGGGTCGGCCATTTTGGCCCCAAACCTAGCCCCGGGGGTCATGATTGGAACAAACTTGAATCTACACTACCTGAGGATGATTCCACATGAGTTTCATCTTTCCTGGCCCAGTGGTTCTTGAGAAGGATTTTTAAAGATATTTCCTATATATTCCTATGTAAAACTTGGGTCGGCCATTTTTGGCCCAACCCTTGCTCCGGGGGTCATGATTTGAACAAACTTAAATCTACACTACCTGAAGATGATTCCACATGAGTTTCATCTTTCCTGGCCCAGTGGTTCTGGAGAAGAAGATTTTTAAAGATTTTTCCTATATATTCCTATGCAAAACTTGGGCCGGTCATTTTGGCCCCACCCTTGCCCCGGGGGTCATGATTTGAACAAACTTGAATCTACAATACCTGAGGATGATTCCACATGAGTTTCATCTTTCTTGGCCCAGTGGTTCTGGAGAAGAAGATTTTTAAAGATTTTTCCTATATATTCCTATGTTAAACTTTGGTCGGCCATTTAGGCCCCACCTTTGCCCCGGGGGTCATGATATGAACAAACTTAAATCTACACTACCTGAGGATGATTCCACATGAGTTTTATCTTTCCTGGCCCAGTGGTTCTAGACAAGAAGATTTTTAAAGATTTTTCCTATATATTCCTGTGTAAAACTTTGGTCGGCCATTTTGGCCCCACCTTTGCCCCGGGGGTCATGATTTGAACAAACTTAAATCTACACTACCTGAGGATGATTCCACATGAGATTCATCATTCCTGGCCCAGTGGTTCTGGAGAAGAAGATTTTTAAATGATTTTTCCTATATATTCCTATGTAAAACTTGGGTCGGCCATTTTGGCCCCACCCTTGCCCCGGGGGTCATGATTTGAACAAACTTGAATCTACACTACCTGATCATAATTCCACATGAGTTTCATCTTTCCTGGCCCAGTGGTTCTGGAGAAGAAGATTTTTAAAGATTTTTCCTATATATTCCTATGTAAAACTATGGTCGGCCATTTTGGCCCCACCCTTGCCCCGGGGGTCATGATTTGAACAAACTTGAATCTACACTACCTAAGGATGCTTCCACATGAGTTTCATCTTTCCTGGCCCAGCGGTTCTGGAGAAGAAGATTTTTTAAAAATACCATTAATTTTTAACAAATTCATGATTATCTCCCCTTGGAAAAGGACGTGGCCCTTCATTTGAACAATTTGAATCCCCTTCACCCAAGGATACTTTGTGCCAAGTTTGGTTGAAATTGGCCCAGTGGTTCTTGAGAAGAAGATGAAAATGTGAAAAGTTTACGACAACAACGACAACAACGCAACAACGACGACAGACAACGGACAAATTTTGATCAGAAAAGCTCACTTGAGCCTTCGGCTCAGGTGAGCTAATAATTTGATCATTGACACAATATAATATTAATGTCAGTAGAATACGGGCAACAAAGGTAAGGCTTGGCTATAAATAAGTTAGAGGTTGTATTACTCAGATTTTTGTAAAATTAGAATAAATCAAAGTATTGAAAGAACTGAGAGCCGCGCTTTAATTGCTCGAGTATATTGCCTGATCCGAAGTTAATACATATTTAATTTTTTTTCCCTTTGGCCATTTATTTTAAACAGGTAGAGTTTGTATGATTATGATTAAAAACAATATCCCATATACCAGTAATTAAAATTAACAGTCCAATATACCCAAAGATATGTTATGATTTTAGAATTCAATAATTCATTGTATTTCTGATAATTTTTTGCAAAATGGTTTATGTAAAAATATTTTTAACAGATATAATCGATTATCTTACGTGTTACATGACGAAAAATGGCTGCACATTTTACAGCCAAGAAGAAAGACCGATATCATGTATCTCTAAGCAGTGTGTTGACCGTTCGAATGAATACTCCTATTGATTGTGATATGAATTTTAATTTGTAGATATCTTTAAAATATATAATATAAATGATAACTACCTAACGTTCCCTGGGAAGGACTTGCCAGTGTAAGTCTGTACTTGTCTGCCTCATCAGATACAGAGAACTTATCATACATCTGATAATAAGTCGTACCGTTGTTAAGTGTGATCGAAACATACAAGTAAGGGTTAATGTCCTTCTTGAACAGGTATATGATGTCATTTCCTGAAATAAGATAAAAGAAGAAAAGGAATGAATTAACAAATAAACATGCTGCCTTAAAATTAAAAAAAAATACCGTCAAAAAGAGATCTGTTGCATTGTTTTGTGCCTTCAAAATGTACATACACTTATTTTCTTATATATGATCAAACCTTTATTGCTTCATTCATTTATTAGAAATGTTGGGTAAAAATTAGTAACAAAAATGTTAATATAGATCTAAAACTATTAATGAAAACGTCTATAGTAAAGTAATCATGTAAACCATATAGAAAAATGCAACAAAAGGATGTCTAGAAAATAAAATATCAAAGAAATACACAGACGTCTTTATACAGTATATACCGAAATGAGCAAGAATGAACTTGAAATTGTAATCTCGGTCAATATGAATCAGCCTACTTGTTAATATTCCCTTTCTCATGTGTAAAAAGCCCTTCAATTTTAAAGCATAGAAGTGTTTTGCCTATAAATTATGTGTAAAAATGAAATTGAAGTAACATGCTGATAGTAAGAAATTACAAACCGATCCAGTATGCTGTTTCTGCCTCCCCAAAACCTCTCTTATAATCCACCCATGTCCTGTCAAAACTTACTGATCCACTCCTCCGTCTTTGAATTGCCTTAAGTTCATAAAAAGGTATAAGTAGATAATAACAGTGATACAATAAAAAGATATCACACACTCCACTTTAAAGAAATGAGAATTAAGTGTCTTTTTTGTTTTTGTTTTCTTTTTGTTTTTTTTTTTTGTTTGCAATAAACACGTGTTTTTTTAAACTAGAGAAATGTGTGACACTTCTAAGTAATAGAATTGTTTAGACTTTAAAGTACGAATAAGCTAATCAGTTGAGAAAAGTCTCATCCGAACATAATACTAAGTTAACATATGGCACAACTGCTATGCTTTTTTGCTTTCTATCAACATATTCAGATATACAGTATACACAACATAGAAGGGTAGCTTTTTAATTTACTAATCATCACTCTCTACCATTTGTCACTTTATCGAATAAAATTAGCCAACAATTGCAATTATACAAAATGGATGTTTTGTTACTAACTGTTACTCTCCGCCATTGGAAATATACACAGTGGCTATTCTTATAATTTACTCTCCATCCCCGCCATACGTCAACATATCATAAAATACACAGATTATTATACACAGCGACTGTTCTTGTTACCTACCGTCCACCCTCCGCCATTCATCACCATATCACAAAATACATGGACAATATTATACACAGTTGCTGTTCTTGTTACTTACCGTCCACCCTCCGCCATTCGTCACCATATCACAAAATACATAGACCACGTGACATCGTTTTCTGTACGGCGATATGCCGTATATCCCAGACTGAGTATGGCCATTGTTATAATACTCCTGACAATCCTTTGGTAGAGTATCTGAAATTTAGTGATATTTTTTAAAGTTATTTGAATTTTTGGTTTGTAAATCACACAAACTTTATATCATTCGCATATATCATGAATATATGTGACTTACAAACCAATAATTCACAATTAACTTGAAAAAAACACTCCATATGTCAACAAATTACATGTTAAGGAATATCAATATATACTCAATCTTTGAATTTCTCGCTGCCTTACAATGTTAAATTTGTATCAACATTTTTTGAGTTTTGTTTCTACATTTGTATTTGTATTTTTTTATATTGATATAGCACTTTCACATGTACATGTATGATAATTTCATCATCTTATGGTATGCAATAACATCAGATCTACACACAGTACATAATTATAGTTATAAAATGTGAAAGTTGTTTTTAAGAAAAAAGACAAAAAAGGGAGGTCAGCAAGAAAAACAACTTTTTTTTTACAGATAATAGCACAAAAAATCACTCAAATAAGTTATATGGTGTATATTTACATGTATATATAACTCTATTGCTTACAATGCATTGCAAATATTTTGCCAATGCCTTACATATTCCTCATATCTACAACTCTTCATCAGTAAACATTTTTCAATAAAGATTCTATCGGTGACCCTCTTAAACATATCTTCAGCATCTATATTAATTTTGTACATTTAACAACACACAAAATGGCTATCAAATGAATTTCAAAGTTGGTGATGAGAAAAACACATCAAATTGAATATGCAAAAAATCAATAATTATAATTTCTTCTCCTTCTCTTCATTTATCGTAACTTTCTTAAAACAAAATTATTACAAAAATTGAGGATCACTAAATGCTAAATGCAAAA